AGCCAGGACACGAACTGGTGCCTACATGAGATCCTGGTGCTTGCAAAGGGAAAGATTATCTGGCAAAGCCACCACACAGGCCCAACTTTTTGTATTTGGTTACATTAAAGCATACAGATCTATATTACATTTTAAATGGCTATTTTAACCATGCTTGCTTTTGTAATACCATGTAGGGATCATCTGAAAAAAAATACTGGTTCACTGAATATGCAGATCATCTAAATGTTGTCATTTTTCATTATACAACTATAAGGAAAAAAAAAAAACCCACAACATTTGTCAATATCACCACCCATCTCTTCAGAGACATTTGAGAAGCTTTCAAGTTTCTGGCAGTCAACACAAGTTTTTCAAAATTTTAATGTTGATTTGAAGGCTTGAGTTTCATTACTGGTAATAGATACTATTGTTTTTCTTTGAAATGACAGACACATCTTGTTCATTTTTTTGAAAATGAAGACTAAATGCCAAAGGCTGAGATAACCTTAGCTTGTCTGCTGTTCTTTAAAGTACAATGATGTACGGAAGTAAGCATGTGTGTGTGTTTTCTAGTTCTGCTTTCTAGGCCTAGAAGTAATGGCAGCAGAGCAGCAACGCGCACACCTGGCACACAGATCTTGATTCTTACATACCCATTATCACTAAATGGAATTATTACTTTTATAAGAAACGGGTTATTTCAGGACTAAAGTTAGGCAAGTAAAAGGTGAACTTGGGATAAACATCAGGAAGTAAGGGAAATGCTTAAAAATGATGAAAATGCTAAAAGAAATAAAAACCAGCCAAATATGAAATAATTTCTGTATTAATATAAGTAATGACAGGAATCAGTATGTAATTCATAGACTAAAGTAAGTAAGTGAGCTCGTTGTAATACAAACACGTTGATAATAAATAGAGCAGTACAAGGAAGCTCTCTCACACAGCAGGAAGATAAATAATACACTTACACACACATATGGAACGATAAAGACAGAAAGATATCACTGCAGTACAAAAGCGAGAATCATCAATGAATGTTTAAACTTGTGGGAAGTCTTACATGATCTCTACCAGATATTTATCATCGCAAAGAGGAAAACAGTTGTTTTATAGGGGAGAAATTTGGCAGACACCACCTTGAATAAAAAAAAATAAAATAAAAGACTGATTTCATTATTTATGGGGTATACAGGTAACACGTACCTGCTGATATGGTATGCCGAGAAGGCAACATCAGTTCTGTGGTATTCCTGACAAAAATGTAAAATTTGAATCTAAACATGGAGAAATACCAGGCAGACTCAAGTTAGAGGATACTGTACAAAATAAACAGCTTCTGTTCTTGAAAGATATCAAGGCTATCAAAGACAAAGACAGAAGTTATCTCAGACTCTGGCAAAGGAAAGCTAAAGAAACTTGCCAGTGTATTATAAAGTGTGATCCCACACTAATACTGAGCTGGAAAATAATATTTTTCCATAAAGAAAATCAGCGGGACAAGAACAAAAAGACCAACCACAACCCCCCCCCGCAATAAAAGATTATAGCATTGTATCAATGTTAAATTTCTAACTTTGATCATTACACTGTGATATTTATACTTTAAGAAAACAGACCTAAAACATATTTAGGGATAAATGGAACAGAAAATAATTCTGCTATCTGTGCACCTTTTTCTATCTCTCAGTGGGGAGTGAAAGAAAATACAGCACGAGCAACAGAATGAAGTCTAGGGCAGGCTTTTGGCTTGTTTGTTAACAGGTTGATTTGACACCTACATTCCACAGCAGAGCACCCGGACTTGCTTCTAGCTTTGACTTTCTCTTGTAGCTTCCTGCCAAGGCAGACCTAGAAAGTAATGGCTCAAGTGACTGGATTCCTGCAGTCCATTTGGGAGAACTGAATTGGCTCAGACTGGACCTGGCCAAGTCATTCCGAGCATATTGGAAAGTGAGCTAGTAGATAGGACTTTGCCTCTCAAACGAGAAAAAGCATGAAAAATTGGTTAGGGATGGGTGAAAGAGATATGCTTTTTTGACACTATTTTTGCAACTTTTAAAAAATGAAAATGAGTAAGTATTTCTTTGAAAAGCAGGGTTACAGAGAGAAAGAGGGAGAGAAAGAGGCAGAGACAGGTATCTTCTACCCTCTGGTTCACTCCCCAGATGGCTGCAATGGGTTGGCTGAAGTTAAGAGCCTGGAATTTCACCTGGTTCTCCCACTTGGTTGGCAGAGCCCTGAATGCTTGGGTTATCTTCTGCTGCCTTCCCAGACCACGAGCAGGAAACTGGATTGGAAATGAAGCAAGCAGCCAGAACTTGAACCAGCATCCATATGGAATGTCAGCATTGCAGGCGGTGGCTTCGTGCCTATTTGCTGATGAGAGAGATACGAGTTAAGGAGAACTTTCAGAACTTTTGGCTTGTGCCCCTGAGTGAATGGTATCACCAAGCTTGGGAATGGGTATCTTTTGGGGTTGAATTTTAGAGAACAAATTTGTAAAGAACAAGGAAACATTTGCTAGAGTTGCTAGACTTTGAATTCATTTGAAAACACTTTTCTTAGAATGTTGGCTTTCCATAGGAAGTACCTAAATGAAAGTGAGGAGGTCTACCAGGTTGGGAATAAAGAGATATTTCAGAGTTACTGGATAGCAGAGAAAGTCAATGAATAATTGAAAACAGGGCAATCACAACAGCTGACATCAGGCCAAGACAGATTAAGACGAGCAAGATTTATATAAAGTTGAGAGACAATTCAGGAGCAGAGAGCAAACTGGGCAGGAAAAGCCGAAACAATGGAATGAAACCAAGGAAGATGAGAGGATTTACACTGGACTGCTTCCATCAGGGGAGGTGGTGGTGATGGTAAAGGCAGGCTCTTTCAGCAACTGAATTTGAATAGAAGGGAAGAAAGTGTGAAGCAGTAGGAAATAGGTCCTGGGAACAAATGAATCATCTCCATGTAGTAGCGACATTCTGGGTAGCATGGTTATTCATAAACAAATGCAGATTTCCTACAGTGATAGTGAGCTAGGCTTAGAAAGCACTGTGCTCACGTTAGGTTGCCAGACTGATCTAAATTAAAGGGCCCATTTCTCAAGATGGGAAATTTTCAGTGGCAGGAACTTACCTTTACAGCATTTTCTCTATGGAGCCGAGAGGAGCATTTGGGGTATCGGACTGAAGGCATCCACGTCCAGCTTTTCTGTCGGTCAGTTGGATGTACTTCCCTTGTCAAATGGTGATAGCATAGTACCTAATTCACAGAGTGATTGTGAGGATGAATCATAGTTTCCTACTGAGCCCCAGTTTCCCTTGTTATAAAACGGGGATGGTGGTTTTTTTTTTTTTTTTTTTTGGTAATGTGACTCAGAAGTATGTGGCAAAGGCACACTTAGAATATACAGGAACAGTTTTCATTGATGAGAAGAAAGCTGCTAGGATGTATTTCCTCTAAAGTGGCTGCTCAATTATTATCTGAATGTCTCCTAAAGACCTTATGTCATTTCCTCATGATGATTTAGTATTATTAGGCTATAATCTAAGGCAAAGTGATCTTAAGATGATTTTATACAGAAAAAAAAATGCTGTTCCTGTGCTGATTATCTACTGTGCAACCAAAAGTCAAACAACTGAGTGGATTGTGCAATATTATTCAGTGAAGGGATGTTACATAAACCATTTAGAGAAATTGAGGGCAATTTCACCCAGATCTGGGATGATGAAGACTGCTGTATCCATCTTGGTATAGGAAGACATTTACCCACAAAAACAGAGATGGATACAATCTTAAGCTTAAGAAATGCTGAAAATTAGGGTGTTTTGGAACCAACACAGAATTTGAACTAATACATATTGAGTACTTTCATGGGTCAGTCCTTTTATCTGCAACACTCTCAGCAACAGCAAGGCAGGCAACAGAAAACTGGCATTCAAAAATGTTACATAACTTGCCCAGGTCATAAAGCCATAACATGACAGAACTGGAATTGTTAGTAGCAGGTTCTGACAACAAGGTCCCTGATTGTGCTAGTGTAGTCCTCAGTAGGGGGAAAAAAGATTCTGTATTTGGAAAAAATTGGGGACCAGAGGATTTGGAGAATTTCTCTTTCCCCATTGGCAGTCCTTTTCTTGTTTTGTTTTTCTGACGCTGGTTCCCTAGAGGTTGAGTGAGATCAAAATGGGCTCTCAGCATACAGAATGAATCTAGGCTCCACTCTACAATTTCCTTCCTTCCCAGCCTGACCCAGCATCTGAGAGGGGTGGAGGTAAGGGAGGGTAGTTAGTGAAAGATGGATGGTTCTTTTCTTACTTATGAAGTTGTTTATTTCAGGACAACCCGATGGCTATTCCCTTCTCTTCCTCAGCATTATTATTATTATTATTTTCCCATTTTATTGAAGGAGGGAAGGGAATGGGGACTATCTGCAGTTTTGGTAGCTGAAGGAAATTTCTGTAATGCACAGTAGATTCAAAAAAGTTAAGGTCAACGGCAATTCTTCATCTGTTTTGGGGGAGGATTTATGCGTGTGTGTGTGTGTGTGTGTGTTTAAGAAAAAAAGAAAAAGGTCTGTTCTGGGGTCACTCTTCTTTCATCCACACTGAAGGGAACGGAAGAAATCGCCCTCCCTGTCCTCCCCTTCCTCCCTCCCGCCCCAAGGAGACAGGACACACGGAGTCTTCCTCCGCTCGCAGGTGCGAGTCCCGAGCGACCAGAACGCTCACGTACCTTCTGCAGAGAAGGAAACGGTGCTCGGGGGTCGGCCGGGGGGGAAAAGGGTGGTGGGACCGCCAGGGGCTTGTGGGAACCGAGGGGCTTCCGGCTGCCAGGAAGCGTCGTCAGGGGTGAGAGGCGGGCCGCGAGCCGCAGGCGGCGCAGGGACCCAGGCCGCGCTCCCTCGCGTTCCCAGCCGCTCGCGCCCGGCGTGGCCGCCGCAGTCCCGACGCCGTAGCCGGACGTGGGGGACAGGGGGCGCTGTGGCCCAGCGGCGCCGAGGGCTGGAGCGTCCACCGCGACGCCGAGGGCTTCGCCGGAGGATCCCCGCCTGCGGCAGCGGCAGCTCGGCCGTCGTCCCGCCGCAGCCTTGGCGCCCCTGGCCCGGTTCCGCGGCGCTGCTCCGGGCTCCGCGTGAGGGGGCAGCGGCCCGGGGAGCCGATGCGCCTGAGCGGGAGCTGGGCCTCGGCGGTAACAGCGGCGGCAACAAACAACCGCAGCGACCACAGCCCCGTCACGAGTGGGAAGCTTCGCAGCGGCTCCCGGGGCCGCGCCGGTGCCCTCCGGAGGAGACTCTGGGCTCGGGGACGACCCCGCTGGCCATGCTGAAGCGGTGTTGGCCGCTGGCCGAGGTGAGTGCGGCGCGGTCCCCGCTCGCCCGCCGCCGCCTCTCGGGGGGCCCTGGCGGCAGCCTCGAGGCCGGGCGGACTGGGCGTCCTGTCGCTGCGGCCGCCTCCCCCACCCCGCAACTCTGGGGCCTCAACCCGTCCTTCTCGCGTTTCCCGGGAGGATGGAGGCCGGTGTGTGTGTGTGTGTGTGGGGGGGTGACTAGGCCCCGCGCTCCCCACAAGCCCTCGCCCCGGCCTGGGTTTCGGCGCGGCCGGCTGTGCGGAGAGAGGGGCTGGCGGGGGCGGCGGGGGCGGCACGGGCGCCCTTGGGCTTGGCCCGGGCCGGGCGCAGCGTCCTACCACCCCGGGCCCTGCGAGTACATCCCGGAGGGAGGCGGAGGACGCCCGTTTGCAAACAACCTCGGCTTCCCCGCGCCCTGCACCGGGTCCTGCTGAGAGTCCCGGTGGGAAGGGAGCCAGGGCAGGGTGAGAATTGGGGTGCAGAAAGTGCGGTGGGGAGGCCCCGAGAGCCCCTAGCGTGCCTTGGAGTGTCATTTGCGGACGCGATTTGCTTGAGAATAACCTTTTGCGCCCTTAATTGAGGTGAAATTTCATCACCTGCTGGTAGCTCGTCTTTGCTTTCTTAAATTACATCTGGTCTTTAAGGGTAGTCTTCATTGGAAAAGACCCATCCTCGCTTTACAATGCTAAGTTTCCCAACTAAACACTCACGTTATAAAACCTTTTTTTTTTTTACAACGGTGTCCCCCCCCCCCCCCTTACTCCCTGCACCACCCCAGGGAACTATTTCAATGCTCTGTCCACAGTACAAAAATGGTCCCGCTTAAAGAAATCCAAGAATGAGTGCCAAGAGGATTTTAAATCGTAGTAACTCTCTAAGAGCAGGTACCTGATGGAATTGGGATCTTTTGTACATTTTAAAGGTAAAATGGTTTGTTCTGATATTAATCTAAGAATATGTGATTACAGTTTGATACCATAGTTAGATATTTGAGTGCTTATGATTTATAATAGGTGGAATTAGTGTTTATGTTCTTGTTTTCCTATTATGTGTATTAAGATGACAAGATCTGAAGGTACTTCCAGAACTTTTATAATCATGGGAAATAATAACTAGCTATTATAGGGAATTCAAAACATATAGAAAGACAGTGTGTTGGCTGTCAGTGTTTAATAAGTAGGGAGGAATCGCTCTTCGTCTTCCAGGTAGTACTTGTGGATGGTCAGTTTGAAATGCGCTTGTACTGATGGTAACTTGAGAGGCATGCGTGTGTATACGTGCGCACACTCACCCACACCCCCTCCATTGGGTCACTGCCCACATGGTCGCCAGTGGCTGGGACTGTGGGGCTGGGCTGAAGCTGGACACTCAATCCAGGTCTCCCATTTGGTTGTCAGGAACTGAATTAGTTGAGGCGATACTGGCTGTATTACCAGGAAGCTGGGATCAGGTGGCGGGTCTGGGAATTGAAGCTAGGTACTCCCCTGTGGGCCTTAAGAGACTTCATGGTTGTCCTAAATTAATCACATGGATAAATACTTGCTCGGGGTGGTGAGACCTTCAATTGTTAGTGTACTAGGTTTAGAATTCCTGACTGTGCCACTGTCCTTTGAAGATTACACAATCACGTGAGAATCACAGTAGAATTTGATTACTAAAATGTGATAATATTTGTAATTACCTAAAAGGCCCCTTACTTCACCTCAGCGAGGTTTTTGAGGACCTGCTGTGCTGTAGCCTTGTGTTGTTTCTGTCAGATTCTGTGTGTTTCTACTTTTATTTATTAGCATTTTTTTTGGTTAGATTTATTTAGTTCTTTAAAATTGGAATTCAGTTCTCCATATGTCCCTAAACATACTAACTTTAGAGTCTTGAGAATGCTTGTTAAAAGAAACAGATTCTAGGGCAGGTGTTGGAGCTTCATGGTGAAGATGGTAAAGCTTTCACTTGATGTGCACATTTCCTGCCTCAGTGCCTGAGGTTGAGTTCTGGGTTTTTTTTTTTTTAAGATTTATTTATTTATTGGAAAGTCAGATGTACAGAGAGGAGGAGAGACAGAGAGGAAGATCTTCTGTCCGATGATTCACTCCCCAAGTGACCACAATGGCTGGTGCTGTGCAGATCTGAAGCCAGGAGCCATATCCCACACAGGTGCAGGGTCCTCGATGCTTTCCCAGGCCACAAGCAGGGAGGTGGATGGGAAGTGGAGCTGCTGGGATTAGAACCGGCGCTCATATGGGATCCTGGTGCATTCAAGGCAAGGACTTTACCTGCTAGGCCATGCCGCTGGGCCCGAGTTCTGGGTTTTAGATGTGTGAAGCAATGTGTGATGACTCTGGTATTTGGGCGCCAGTTGACTATGTGGGAGAACTAGATTGAGGTCAGGCATCCTTCCTGTAAGGACATTTAAGGAGTGAGTCAGCTGATAGGAGTGCTCTGTTTGGCTCTCTGAATCTGCCTCTCAAATAATATTTTTAAAAATCTGTAGATTCTGGACCCTTTGAATCAGAATGCCTTTTTTTTTTCTTTTTAAAGATTTGTTTATTTTTATTGGAAAGTCAAATTTACAGAGAGGAGGCGAGACTAAGATCTTCCATTCACTGGTTCCCTCCCCAAGTGTCCACAATGACCAGAGCTGATCTGAAGCCAGGAGCTTCTTCTGGGCCTCCCACATGGGTGCAGGGTTCCAAGGCTTTGGGCCATCCTCTACTGCTTTCCCAGGACACAAGCAGGGAGCTGGAAAGGAAATGGAGCAGATGGGACACCAGCCCGCACCTGTAAGGGATCCCAGCATATGCAAGGCGAGGATTTTAGCCATTAGATTGCCACTCCGGGCCCTTGACAGAATTCTGAGGGTGGTGATGGTCTAAAGAGCTTCATTTATTTATTTATTTATTTATTTTTTTTAAAGATTTATTTTTATTATTTTTGTTTTATTGGAAAGGCGGATATACATAGAGGAGAGACAGAGAGGAAGATCTTCCGTCCGATGATTCACTCCCCAAGTGAGCGCAACGCCCGATGCTATGCCGGTCCGAAGCCAGGAGCCTCTTCCGGGTCTCCTGCGCGGGTGCAGGGTCCCAAAGCTTTGGGCCATCCTCGACTGCCTTCCCGGGCCACAGGCAGGGAGCTGGAAGGGAAGCGGGGCTGCCGGGATTAGAACCGGCGCCCATATGGGATCCCGGGCGTGCAAAGCGAGGACTTAACCACTTGCGCCACCGCGCCGGGCCCAAGAGCTTCATTTTTATCAGGTTTTGAATTCTTTGGTCCAGTAGTTTCAAGAACACTGGTATAGTAACTTTAGTACATTTAAATAAGAGATGAGTATGTGTTTCCTAGCACAACTCTTGGTCTTAAGTGGCAATATTTCTCATAGCAACAGATAATTGGTGTTATAATGCTACAAAGAAAAAGGGTGTTTTGAGGAACAGTTACCAACATTTATTGAGTGCCTACTGTGATGTCTGCAGTGTTAAAGGATTAAAAGCCGGTTGGGTTTAATGGACCTCAGTGTCCATGACTGTGCAAAATACAGGAAGTTATTTTATACACCCTGAAAGACCTTTACGTTTTAAAAATGTATTGTGATCTGTGAAAGATTTTTTAAAAATTTATTTTTGTTGGGAAGTCAGATATACAGAGAGGAAGATCTTGTGTCTGATGATTCACTCCCGAAGTGGCCGCAACAGCTGGGGCTGTGCTGATTCTAAGTTGGGAACCTGGAGCCTCTTCCGGGTCTCCCACACAGGTGCAGGGTCCCAGGGCTTTGGGCCGTCCTCGACTGCTTTTCCCAGGCCACAAGCAGGGAGCTGGATGGGAAGCGGGGCCTCTGGGAGTAGAACTGGTGCCCGTATGGGATCCCGGGCGTGCAAGGTGAGGACTTTAGCCACTAGGCTATTCTGCTGGACCCCCCTGTGAAGATTTTTATAAAATTTCAGCTGTTAGTGCTTGTCTGAGGTGTTCTGGGAAACAGAATATGAGGAAGGACTCTATGAGCAATTAGCTAATTGTGGAAGCAGGACAGGTAAAATTAACTGTTCCAGGGCAGGGTCAGACAAATACTGCAGTTGAGTGGAACTGGCTAGATCTCTGTTTAAGGCTTCTATGTGTCATCCTGTATCTTTTTAAGAACATAGATAATAATTTTTGTATATGGGTGTTGTTTTCTATTTTAAGTCCTTATCCTGTGTTTTCCAGGAGGAACTAATTGTATAAGGAGTTTTCTATTTACTCCTTTAGAGAGGCAGTGAGCAGGGGTGATCCCCTTTCTTCTTCTGTTGTTATGCTACCACTGTTCATCCCACTCAGGAAACTTTTATTCAGAACCTGTTATGTGCTGGCCATAGACTGGTTACAAGAAACAAAGCTTGGTTAAAAGATAATTGCGCTTATTTTAGCTTACGTGCTTCTGTTCCTAATGGGATGATGTGTGTGTATTTTAGGGTTGTTAGCTGCATGACGTGGCGCAGTGTGTACTCAGATACGGGCAGGAATGCTTGCTCTATCTCATAGAGCAGCGTGACATTGAGATTCTGAGTTTCTTTGTATGTGTTCTCCTCCCAGGGAAGTAGAACAGGTTCCTGAGATAAGAGTAATCAAAAACAATTAGCGCAATATTTGTCATATAGATACTCATTAATGCTCATTTCCATTTTTCCTGTTGGGGAAAACTAAAATGAAGATGAAGTATTGTGAATAGCTTTATTTATTTTTTAAAGCAAACAAATCTTTTAAAATGCCTTGATTTTTACTTTTTTTAGAGATTTATTTTATTCATTTGAGAGGTAGAGGGACCGGCACCATGGCATAATTGGTTAAGCCTCCCCTATGGTACCAGCATCCCCTTATGGGCACTGGTTCAAGCCCTGGCTGCTCCATTTCAGATCAAGCTCCCTGGTAATGTGTTTGGGAAAGCAGCACAAGACAGCTCAATCCTTCGACCTCTGCACCCACTTGGGAGAGCCAGTAGAAGCTCCAAGCTTCTGGCTTTGGACTGGCCTGA